GGAGAAATGCCCCATTTTTTGACTTCAAAGGCCCATAAATACCTCATTTCTAATAAGTAGAAAAAAATAATGGTCAGTTCTTATACGGGACGTCCATAAAGTAAACGCACCTCATATCAAACAATTTTACTGTCGTATTTTGTAGAAATGTCCCATTATTTGACTTCAGAGGGCCATAAATACCTAATTTCTAATAAGTAGAAAAAACTAATGGCCAATTCTTATACGGGACATCCCACACAGTACACACACCTCATATCAAACCATATTACTGCAGCATTTTGGAGAAATGTCACATTATTCGACTTCAGAGGGCCATAAATACCTCATTTCTAATAAGTAGAAAAAAATAATGGTCAGTTCTTATACGGGACGTCCCATACAGTACACACACCTCATATCAAACCATATTACTGCAGCATTTTGGAGAAATGTCCCATTATTCGACTTCAGAGGGCCATAAATACCTAATTTCTAATAAGTAGAAAAAAATAATGGTCAGTTCTTATACGGGACATCCCATAGAGTACACACACCTCACATCAAACCATTTTACTGTCGCATTTTGGAGAAATGTCCCATTATTTGACTTCAGAGGGCCATAAATACCTAATATCTAATAAGTAGAAAAACTAACGGCCAATTCTTATACGGGACGTCCCACACAGTACACACACCTCATATCAAACAATTTTACTGTAGCATTTTGGAGAAATGTCCCATTATTCGACTTCAGAGGGCCATAAATACCTAATTTCTAATAAGTAGAAAAAACTAATGGCCAATTCTTATACGGGACGTCCCACACAGTACACACACCTCATATCAAACCATATTACTGCAGCATTTTGGAGAAATGTCACATTATTCGACTTCAGAGGGCCATAAATACCTCATTTCCAATAAGTAGAAAAAAATAATGGTCAGTTCTTATACAGGACGTCCCACACAGTACACACACCTCATATCAAACCATTTTACTGTAGCATTTTGGAGAAATGTCCCATTATTCGACTTCAGAGGCCCATAAATACCTCATTTCTAATAAGTAGAAAAAACTAATGGCCAATTCTTATACGGGACGTCCCACACAGTACACACACCTCATATCAAACCATATTACTGCAGCATTTTGGAGAAATGTCACATTATTCGGCTTCAGAGGGCCATAAATACCTCATTTCTAATAAGTAGAAAAAAATAATGGTCAGTTCTTATACGGGACGTCCCATAAATTATACACACCTAATATCAAACCATTTTACCGTAGCATTTTGGAGAAATGTCCCATTATTCGACTTCAGAGGCCCATAAACACCTCATTTCTAATATGTAGAAAAAAAACTAATGGCCAATTCTTATACGGGACGTCCCACACAGTACACACACCTCATATCAAACCATATTACTGCATCATTTTGGAGAAATGTCACATTATTTGACTTCAGAGGGCCATAAATACCTCATTTCTAATAAGTAGAAAAAATGATGGTCAGTTCTTATACGGGACGTCCCACACAGTACACACACCTCATATCAAACCATATTACTGCAGCATTTTGGAGAAATGTCCCATTATTGGACTTCAGAGGGCCATAAATACCTCATTTCTAATAAGTAGAAAAAATAATGGTCAGTTCTCATACGGGACGCCCCATAGAGTACACACACCTCATATCTAACAATTTTACTGTAGCATTTTGGAGAAATGTCCCATTATTGGACTTCAGAGGGCCATAAATACCTCATTTCTAATAAGTAGAAAAAAATAATGGTCAGTTCTTATACGGGACGTCCCATAGAGCACACACACCTCATATCAAACCATTTTACTGTAGCATTTTGGAGAAATGTCCCATTATTCAACTTCAGAGGCCCATTTTCAATAAGTAGAAAAAAAATAAAGGTCAGTTCTTATACGGGATGTCGCATACAGTATACACACCTCGTATCAAACCATTTTACTGTAGCATTTTGGAGTAATGTTACATTATTTGACTTCAGAGCCTGATAAATTCCTCATTTCTAATAAGTAGAAAAAAAATAATGGTCAGTTCTTATACGGGACGTACCATAGAGTACACACCAAGGTTATAATCGTTAACGAAAACTAACGAAAAAACGAAAACTAGATGGGAAAAAACATTGTCGTTAACTGAAATAAAAATAAAAACGAGCCATTACAAAAAAACTATAACTAACTAAAACTGTAATGTGTGTTTGCAAAACTAACTAAAATAAAATAAAATTATAGAGCAAATGTCCTTAGTTTTCGTCTTTAACACTATTTAAAACACGCAGTGTATTCGTTGCATTTCATTTCCCTGTAACGCTCTCTCCCTCCGTCTCTCTCTCAAATGCACGCACACACACAGCCCCTCCCCTCCGTGCAATGCACACCGCGTCTCTATGAAAACGAGGGTTCGATCAATGTTAAAAGCAAGTTCGCGAAAGGTTGGTATCTCATGATGAACATTTTACACAATCACACATTAAAAGGTGGTGTAAAAATGTGTTAAATTCTTAATACAATTCTGCAAGTGTGTTAATGTCAACCCGAGAAGCGATTGAGCCTTCGTTAGAAAGTTACTGACTTAGTTGCAATTTTGAGGTAAAATGCTGCTGGGCAGTGGGCATGGCCGTGGCTAACCAGTCCGGACCTCGGCCATTTTTTTTTACATTCAAAAATGGAATGGCATGATTGAATGATTATGTGAATGATTAATTAGCCATGTTTAGACCACCTGTGTGTTTGCAATTCATGTTGCAGCGAGAAGCTAGCGCAGTGAAGGGGGCTTGAGAACGCATTGTGAATGAGGGCGCTAGTGTAGCCTCTGTGTTGCCAGATCCACCTAATCGAATGGTGCGGTAATCTTCTGGACCTGTTTTTCGGATTTTTTGTGACACTTTAGGAAGTTATTATAGTGGAAAGTTGCATGTTAGTGTTAGAGATATATTAATCTTATTTCCAAAACACAAGCTTTGAAGTAATTTCGAATTGTTATTATATTATTTGCTTGTTTTTCGTAGCAATATCTGGCAACATTTTACTGTCTGCGTTAATAAAAAAAGCTTTTTTTTTTATTGACAAACTGCAATTGCATAAGGCAACCACTCCAAACGCAATGATCATTGTGATTATCTGTAAAAACAATAGCATAATACAGATCTGTATGTTACAGAATAAAATTTGCCAAAATAACCTTACTGGCCAGCTGGAAGACGGCTCATGCTTTGTTAACGTTTCACATAGTCATCATAAATGCAATAATTAAAGTAGTGTTTCTCAACTAGCAATCTATTCAACTAGCAATTTATTTAGACCTACTTTTATTCTGTTTCTTTGCACAAAACTCTCCAGAAAGTGCCATTTAATAGTTAATATATATATATATATATATATATATATATATATATATATATATATATGGTAAATTCCTTTAAAAAAATCCCTTCATGTCCATGGGGAAATGTGGGTCCAATAGCCTAAACATTATTATATTACTAATTATTGTGAGATAATTATTAACCATTATTACCTCACTAGTTTTCAGACCCTGGTTGCAGCCTTGCTGCTTGGTTGTCGGTGTCAAAACTCTATAAGCTGTGATTCAAATATTAAATAATGTTATGTCATTATTTTACTCTTACACTGACTGTTTGCTGCTTCTGTCCAGATTAGTGTTGTATAGGGTAAATTTAGTATAAGGTGTGGAAATTGTAAAGCTGTGGGATTTTTTTATAGAAGATATCTAGATTGTTACGGTAAAGGATTTTCACATTGTAGGCTTCATTTTATGTACTGGTTTTAATGTTGAATAGATATTTCTAAAATTGTATGATGTTTTTGTTGAGTTATTGTTACACAATTCTTTTTCTGACCTTTTTCAACCTTGCCCCTGACAAATAACCCAAACTACAAAAAAAAGACTAAAACTAACACTAAAACTAATAAAAACTAAACTAAAACTAAGCATTTTCAAAAAATAGAAACTAAACTAAACTAGCAAACCCACTTTTAAAACTAATTAAAACTAAACTGAATTTGAAAACAAAAATTCAAAACGAAATAAAAATAAAAACTAATGAAAAATGCAAAACTATAATAACCTTGGTACACACACCTCTTCAGAGCCTGATAAATTCCTCATTTCTAATAATTAGAAAAAAAAATAATGGTCAGTTCTTATACGGGACGTGCCATAGAGTACACACACCTCACATCAAACCATTTCACTGTTGCATTTTGGAGAAATGTCCCATTATTCAACTTCAGAGGCCCATAAATACCTCATTTCTAATTAGTAGAAAAAACTAATGGTCAGTTCTTATACGGGACGTTCCATACAGTACACGCACCTCATATCAAACAATTTTACTGTAGCATTTTTGAGAAATGTCCCCTTATTCGACTTCAGAGAGCCATAAATACCTCATTTCTAATAAGTAGAAAAAACGAACGGTCAGTTCTTATACGGGACGTCCCATAAAGTATACACACCTCTTATCAAACCATTTTACTGCAGCATTTTGGAGAAATGTTACATTATTCTACTTCAGAGGCCTATAAATTCCTAATTTCTAATAAGTAGAAAAAACGAACGGTCAGTTCTTATACAGGACGTCCTATACAGTATACGAACCTCATATCAAACCATTTTACTGTCGCATTTTGGAGAAATGTTACATTGTTCGACTTCAGAGGCCTATAAATACCTCATTTCTAACAAGTAGAAAAAACAAATGGTCAGTTTTTTAGGAGACGTCCCATAGAGTAAACATTTTACTGCAGCGTTTTAAAGATATGTTATACAGTATTTTACTACTTCAAAGCCCCATACTATATGCATGTTATAGATTGTGTTGTAGAACGCAGATGAACACATTGATAAAGCCAAAGGTGCCATCTTGTGCCGGCAGATGGATAGAATGCGGCTTAGCTGGAGGACAATAAAAAGCCGGAGAGAACCATGCAAAAGGTTGGTGAAGATGATGGTGACAGCCAGGGCGATGGCCTTGAGCAGGGAAGAGCAGACGGAGACCCAGCCCACAGTCAAGACTGCATCCCACGGCGGCGTCGCAGAAGGGAGTAGCCATGGAGTGAAGAGTCCCAACACTACCAAGGGGATTACCAGAGGTGATAACGGTGATGGAGGTAGAGCACACCACGTAGCCAGAGATGCGATGAGGCAGTGAGACACAAAGACCTAGGCGACCACGACTAGGCCACAGCGCCGACCCCCTGAAGTGGAAGCAGGTTAGAGGTTAGAGGCTGAGCTGCAACAACCATAGGTGGAGGTGGAAGCTGAGGGAGGGCGGAGCTAGTCAAAGGCGAAAGAGGTGGAGAGCCGTAGGGCAGCGAATGGGCCGCAAGTCCATGGCGAAGAAGGTGTAATGTCCAACAGAGGGAGCCCGGGGAGGCTGAATGGCCGATGGTTCACGCTGGAGTCAAGGGTGGTAAGTGAGCACAGGAGCAAGGGCGGCGGGTAAAGGTGGAGCACTCAGATGCTGGAGACGGAGCCACAGTCTTCACACTCCCAAGAGGAGATGGCTTACAGCAGGCAAAAGATGTAGCAGGGCCACAGAGAGGAGGCTGAGTTGCACTGCGGGACTGATGGGAGGAAGAGATGACTGGGTGGCAGGAGTGTCTTGGGACTGCAGAGACAGACAGATAATAGGAAATATACAAGTTTATTACAAGTATTTTGGGGATGGGGTGGGAGGTTGGGCGGGACCAGCAGATTCCCCCTTGCTGCTTGTGGTGGGCTCATGCTGTTGATCCACCGGTGATCTTAGCTGGGAACTGGGTTGTGAGTGGGACTGGCGTTGTTGTCCACAGTTAAGACGGTAAGTGGTAATCCACAAGACCCCAGCACCCACTGAATTCCTACTCATATGAAATGAGGTCTTTATACACCCCTTAAGTCAATTAATATGACATATCTCAAAAATGCTACAGTAAAATGGTTTGAAATGAGGTGTGTATACTGAATGGGACGTTCCCTATAAGAATTGGCCATTAGTTTTTTCTATTATTAGAAATGAGGTATTTATAGGCCTTTGAAGTCTAATAATGGGACATTTCTCCAAAATGCTACAGTAAAATGGTTTCATATGAGGTGTGTGTACTAACTGGGATGTCCCGTAATAGAATTGGCCATTAGTTTTTTCAACTTACTAGAAATGAGGTATTTATGGGCCTCTGAAGTCAAATAATGCGACATTTCTCCAAAAGGCTGCAGTAAAATGGTTTGATATGAGGTGTGTGTACTGTATGGGACGTCCCTAGAAGAACTGACCGTTAGTTTTTTCTACTTGTTAGAAATTAGGTATTTATGGACCTCTGAAGTAGAATAATGGGACCTTTCTCCAAAATGTTACAGTAAAAGGGTTTGTTATGAGGTGTGTAAACTGTATGGGACGTCCCCTACAAGAACTGACCGTTATTTTTTACTACTTATTAGAAATGAGGTACTTATGGGCCTCCAAAATTGAATAATGTGACATTTCTCCAAAATGCTATAGTAAAATGGTTTGATATGAGGTGTGTATACTGTATGGGACGTCCCCTACAAGAACTGACCGTTATTTTTTACTACTTATTAGAAATGAGTTATTTATGGGCCTCTGAAGTCAAATAATGCGATATTTCTCCAAAATGCTGCAGTAAAATAGTTTGATATGAGGTTTGTGTACTCTATGGGATGTCCCATATAAGAACTGACAGTTATATTTTTCTACTTATTAGAAATGAGGTATTTATGGCCCTCTGAAGTCGAATAATGGAACATTTCTCCAAAATGCTACAGTAAAATTGTTTGATATGAGGTGTGTGTACTGTATGGGACGTTGCCTACAAGAAGTGATCGTTGTTTTTTTTTACTTATTAGAAATGAGGAATTTATCAGCCTCTGAAGTCAAATAATGTAACATTTCTCCAAAATGCTACAGTAAAATTATTTGATATGAGGTGTGTAAACTGTATGGGAGGTCCCCTACAAGAACTGACCGTTATTTTTTACTACTTATTAGAAATGAGGTATTTATGGGCCTCCAAAATCGAATAATGTGACATTTCTCCAAAATGCTACAGTAAAATGGTTTGATATGAGGTGTGTATACTATATGGGACGTCCCCTACAAGAACTGACCGTTATTTTTTACTACTTATTAGAAATGAGTTATTTGTGGGCCTCTGAAGTCAAATAATGCGACAATTCTACAAAATGCTGCAGTAAAATAGTTTGATATGAGGTGTGTGTACTGTATGGGACGTCATATATAAGAACTGACAGTTATTTTTTTCTACTTATTAGAAATGAGGTATTTATGGCCCTCTGAAGTCGAATAATAGAACATTTCTCCAAAATGCTGCAGTAAAATAGTTTGATATGAGGTTTGTGTACTCTATGGGATGTCCCATATAAGAACTGACAGTTATATTTTTCTACTTATTAGAAATGAGGTATTTATGGCCCTCTGAAGTCGAATAATGGAACATTTCTCCAAAATGCTACAGTAAAATTGTTTGATATGAGGTGTGTGTACTGTATGGGACGTTGCCTACAAGAAGTGATCGTTGTTTTTTTCTACTTATTAGAAATGAGGAATTTATCAGCCTCTGAAATCAAATAATGTAACATTACTCCAAAATGCTACAGTAAAATTATTTGATATGAGGTGTGTAAACTGTATGGGAGGTCCCCTACAAGAACTGACCGTTATTTTTTACTACTTATTAGAAATGAGGTATTTATGGGCCTCCAAAATCGAATAATGTGACATTTCTCCAAAATGCTACAGTAAAATGGTTTGATATGAGGTGTGTATACTGTATGGGACATCCCCTACAAGAACTGACCGTTATTTTTTACTACTTATTAGAAATGAGTTATTTGTGGGCCTCTGAAGTCAAATAATGCGACAATTCTACAAAATGCTGCAGTAAAATAGTTTGATATGAGGTTTGTGTACTGTATGGGACGTCCCATATAAGAACTGACAGTTATTTTTTTCTACTTATTAGAAATTAGGTATTTATGGCCCTCTGAAGTCGAATAATAGAACATTTCTCCAAGATGCTACAGTAAAATTGTTTGATATGAGGTGTGTGTACTGTATGGGACGTCGCCTACAAGAAGTGATCGTTGTTTTTTCCTACTTATTAAAAATGAGGAATTTATCAGCCTCTGAAGTCAAATAATGTAACATTACTCCAAAATGCTACAGTAAAATGGTTTGATACGAGGTGCGTATACTGTATGGGATGTCCCGTATAAGAACTGACCGTTATTTTTTTCTACTTATTGAAAATGAGGTATTTATGGGCCTCTGAAGTTGAATAATGGGACATTTCTCCAAAATGCTACAGTAAAATGGTTTGATATGAGGTGTGTAAACTGTATGGGACGTCCCCTACAAGAACTGACAGTTATTTTTTTACTACTTATTAGAAATGAGGTATTTATGGGCCTCTAATGTTGAATAATGTGACATTTCTCCAAAATGCTACAGTACAATTATTTGATATGAGGTGTGTATACTGTATGGGACGTCCCGTATAAGAACTGACCGTTCGTTTTTTCTACTTATTAGAAATGAGGTATTTATGGGCCTCTAAAGTCAAATAATGTGACATATTTGTCCAAAATGCTACAGTAAAATGGTTTGATATGAGGTGTGTATACTGTATGGGACGTCCCGTATAAGAACTGACTGTTCGTTTTTTCTACTTATTAGAAATGAGGTATTTATGGCCCTCTGAAGTCGAATAATGGGACATTTCTCCAAAATGCGACAGTAAAATGGTTTGATATGAGGTGTGTATACTGTATGGGACGTCCCGTATAAGAACTGACTGTTCGTTTTTTCTACTTATTAGAAATGAGGTATTTATGGCCCTCTGAAGTCGAATAATGGGCCATTTCTCCAAAAGGCTGCAGTAAAATAGTTTGATATGAGGTGTGTGTACTGTATGGGACGTCCCGTACATTAACTGACAGTTATTGTTTACTACTTTTTAGAAATGAGGTATTTATGGGCCTCTAAAGTCAAATAATGTGACATATTTGTCCAAAATGCTACAGTAAAATGGTTTGATATGAGGTGTGAATACTGTATGGGACGTCCTGTATAAGAACTGGCTGTTCGTTTTTTCTACTTATTAGAAATGAGGTATTTATGGCCCTCTGAAGTCGAATAATGGGACATTTCTCCAAAATGCGACAGTAAAAAGGTTTGATATGAGGTTCGTATACTGTATGGGACGTCCTGTATAAGAACTGACCGTTAGTTTTTTTCTACGTATTAGAAATTAGGAATTTATAGGCCTCTGAAGTAGAATAATGTAACATTTCTCCAAAATGCTGCAGTAAAATGGTTTGATAAGAGGTGTGTATACTTTATGGGACGTCCCGTATAAGAACTGACCTTTCGTTTTTTCTACTTATTAGAAATGAGGAATTTATAGGCCTCTGAAGTAGAATAATGTAACATTTCTCCAGAATGCTACAGTAAAATGGTTTGATGTGAGGTGTGTGTACTGTATGGGACGTCCCGTATAAGAACGGACCATTAATTTTTTCTACTTATTAGAAATTAGGTATTTATAGGCCTCTGAAGGCAAATAATGTGACATTTCTCCAAAATGCTACAGTAAAATGGTTTGATATGAGGTGTGTATACTGTATGGGCCGTCCTGTATAAGAACTGACCGTTATTTTGTTCTACTTATTGAAAATGAGATATTTATAGGCCTCTGAAGTCAAATAATGTGACATATTTGTCCAAAATGCTACAGTAAAATGGTTTGATATGAGGTGTGTATACTTTATGGGACGTCTCGTATAAGAACTGACCGTTCGTTTTTTCTACTTAATAGAAATGAGGTATTTATGGCTCTCTGAAGTCGAATAAGGGGACATTTCTCCAAAATGCGACAGTAAAATTGTTTGATATGAGGTGTGTGTACTCTATGGGATATCCTGTATAAGAACTGACCATTATTTTTTTCTACTTATTCGAAATGAGGTATTTATGGCCCTCTGAAGTCGAATAATGGGACATTTCTCCAAAATGCTACAGTAAAATTGTTTGATATGAGGTGTGTGTACTCTATGGGAAGTCCCGTATAAGAACTGACCGTTATTTTTTCTACTTATTGAAAATGAGGTATTTATAGACCTCTGAAGTTGAATAATGTGACATTTCTCCAAAATGCTACAGAAAAATGGATTGATATGAGGTGTGTGTACTGTATGGGACGTCCCGATAAGAACTGACCATTATTTTTTTCTACTTATTAGAAATGAGGTATTTATGGCCCTCTGAAGTCGAATAATGGGACATTTTTTTCAAAATGCTACAGTAAAATGGTTTGATATGAGGTGTGTGTACTGTGTGGGACGTCCCGTATAAGAATTGGCCATTAGTATTTTCTACTTATTAGAAATGAGGTATTTATGGGCCTCTGAAGTCGAATAATGGGACATTTCTCCAAAATGCTACAGTAAAATGGTTTGATATGATTTGTGTATACTGTATGGGACGTCCCGTACATGCCCTGACTAGGGATGCACCGATACCGATACCGGTATCTGGTATCGGCCTCGATACCACATTTTCTAAAGTACTCGTACTCGTTAAAAGTCCCCCGATACCGGGGACCGATACCATGTTCTGAGAAATGGGTTAATCACAGGCGCCGAGTGCCCACCCCCAGGCTCCGGCTGCAGCTCAGAGCGGGGAGATGGGGAGACATGTCAGCCGTGTGGAACAGTGATGCGCGGGTCAATGTATAAACAACCCGCACACTACCAACGTTTTCAACTACCCGCCCGCTACTCGGACCGCAAAAAAAGTAAGAAAATATTGTACCCGACCCTCTTCCTGAATCCTGACCGTATTTTTTAAAAGTAGTACATGCTCATCGTAGCGTCATTGGGCCATAAACGTGTAACAACACAGCATCGCAAGAAGACGTAGCCTACATATAACAAAGGCAGCACTTTGGTCATCATCTTTCATTATTTCGGTAAATGTCTCCCACACTTACTCTTTCTATCACCTTTTCTCTTGCCGCCTCCATCTCTCTGCAGACTGATCATACACTGTAAAAAATCATTGATGCAAAAAGCTGTACAAATGAGGAAATACATGTTGGCTCAACATAATGGTTGTGTCAAAAAAGAAAAATATGTTTGGTCAATGATTACATGATTTCCATGACTGTACTACAAAATGTTCATTAGGAGAAAATAAATAATTGTGTTCAGACATTTTTTAACGTTGCACAAAAAATATCATGTTGGCCGAGCAAGAGGCAACAGCGTCAATCGTTTGAGCATGCGCAAAGGAGTTCTACCAGGCTTTTGGAATTTCCCCCGCCACGAGTCTTTACGACGACGACATTGAAGTGGTGAGTGCTTCAAAGTTAGTTCACTGTGTTTGTGTTGCGCGAGGTAATGAGCAAATTTAGGTTAAGAATATATCTATTGTCTATCAACAAAGTTTGAAATAGCTTTATTGTGAGTAACGTTACCTAACAGTGATTAGCAGTGCTGGAAAATCATTTTAACACTATGCTTATATAGCAATCCTTTCCAACAGGCATGTTGTTTTAACGTTGACCCTAACGCGGTTAAGCATGGAATGTTCCCGTTTAATATTTTAATGGTCAATATTTTCAAATTTAATTTGCATTCTGGCGTATGATATAGATGAAAATCGATTGCAACAGACAGCTTAGTATTGACAATTAACGTTAGTGCTTTTGCTATCACAGTGACTGATCATTTAGGCTAACCTTAACGTTAGTTCTAACAGTAAATTGCCTTTCAAAGCACGTGTGCCATCGTGTTAGCAGCTAAAACTTTGCACTGAGGTAATGAGCAAATTTAGGTTAAGAATATATCTATAACGTTAATTGTCTGTCAACACATTTTGAAATCGCTTTATTGTGAGTAACTTTAACGTCACCTACAGTATAATCAGTGCTGGAAAATCATTTTAATATAAACCTTGGCAATCCTTTACAACTGGCATGTGGTTATAACATTGACCGTAACGGTTAAGCATCTTCCCGTTTAATAATTTTAATAGTTAATATTTTCAAATTCAATTTGTATTCTTGCCTATAGCCTAATATGTATTATAATTGACTGCAACAGACAGCCGTTAACGTTATTGCTTTTGCCATCACAGAGTGACCGATCATTTAGGCTAACTTACTGTAACTTAGTTCTAACAGTTAACGTTAGTTGCCATTCAAAGCACGTGTGCCGTCGTGTTAGCAGCTAGTACTTTGTACAAAGCCTCCTTTTGCAAGAGTGAAATAACATTTCAGTTTGATAAAAATAAATAAATAAAACAGTTGTGCTAACACGAAAACGAATAGATTCTAATTTTACCAGAGTTGCAAGCTGTTTAACGATCAGTTTGCCTCACCAAACCCCATTAGCCTAGAACCCAGTTGTACTTAGCATAGAAGAGGTATGATTGCTAATGCGCCATTGTTAGGTTTAAGAAAACCCTAAAAAAAAATACTGAAGTATGGTTGTTCTGTGTATAGAACTATGAGTTAAAATGCATTTGTATTTGTTTGCATTTCAGGTATTTTTTCAGACTTGAAGCTAAATGCAGTGCCGTTATTGTAAATTTTCACATCTGCAGCAAGACACCCTGCTTAAGCACTACAGGCTTCATCATTGGCAAGCAGGTAAAGGTTCTTTTCCCTGCATTCATCTAGACTGTGTTTGTATTTTTACTACAACAGGGGCCTTAAAAACCCATTTATGGAGAGCACATCCTAAAAAAGACAGGCCCACTCAGACAGGCACTGACCATGCCAGTTTCCGTTGTGAATTATGTGAATTCTCTGATATTTGCTCACTTAATCAATTTCTGAAACATTTAGGAAGACATTTGCAAAACCATGAGCGAGTTCATTGTCCATTCTCCAACTGTGATTTTAGCAGCAACAACAATACAACTTTCAGAGCTCACAAGTCCAAGAAACACAGAAAACAAACTTTGAATGAACTCTGCACATCTGTTTGTACAGTAGGTAGTATAAGCAATGAGTTTGACACAGTCTCAGTTTCACAAAGTCCATCAGATCAAGCTGATGACATTCAGGAAGATTCTCATATTTCAGATTCAAACCTCGAGGAATGTAAGCCAGTACTTGAACACAAACTTGCTGCATTATTCTTGTGTATGCAGTCACAGTTGCATGTGTCCCAAAGTGCCTCTCAACAGATTATTGATAATGTAAATGACATTCTGTCAATTGCTAACTCAAATACACTCAGTGCAATTCAGAATATTCTGCTAAAGCACAACTGCAATGTTAATGAGTCTATTGTTGCTGACATTACTGACACATTGCAAAATACAAACCCATTTCTGAATGCCACCACTGACAAAGGTCCCCTTTCAACTAATCACAAGCGAAACATCTACTTCAAAAACAATTTTGGCATAATTGAACCTGTTGAATATGTGTTCAATAGGGTACAGAATCACTCATTTGTTTATGTTCCTCTTTTGAAGACTTTGAAGTCTTTGTTGGAGAGACCTGACGTTCTTGAGAAGACGTTTCCCATAAAGGAGGGTACACCAGGATTGTACACATCACCTTTTGATGGTCAGTATTTCAAAGTTAACAAGCTTGTTAATAGTCAAGATTTCAGACTTTCACTTGGGTTTTATATTGACGATTTTGAGATTGCCAATCCATTGGGAACTTCTAGAAAGAAGCATAAAATTACAGCAGTCTATTGGGTCATTTTGAATTGGGAATCACAGTACAGATCGAGTCTCCACTCTATCCAATTGGCACTGCTTGGGAAAAGTTCTGAAGTGAGAGTGTATGGTTATGAATCATTTTTTGAACCACTTTTGTGTGACTTGAGGAGCCTAGAGCAAGAAGGCTTGTATGTTGAACAGATAGGTGCGAATGTCCGGGGAACTGTGCTTAATGTGTCTGCAGACAATCTTGGTGCGCATGGACTCGCAGGTTTTCAGGAAAGTTTTCGCGTTGAAAAATTCTGCAGATTTTGCTTAGCATCTTTGAAAGACATTCAGACCTCAGAAGTTAGGCAGGGACTTTTTCCACTCAGAAGTCATGAGCAACATGATCAATGCATTGCTGAGTTGAAGAGCAATGAGTCCATAACAAATGTGAATGGTGTAAAAGCTGAATGTGTTTTTCAGAAACACCTATCCTCCTTTCATGTCATCACTGGTTTTCCTCCAGATGTTTTACACGATCTGTTTGAAGGTGTAATACCTAGGGAATTGGCTCTGTGTCTGCAGAAATTGATTGGTGCCAAGTACTTTACATTTGAACAGCTCAATAACATTATCCAATCATTTCAATATTCATATTCAGATAAAGTGAATCGCCCACAAAGAATTCCAAAGACATTTCACTTGAAAAAAACAGTTGGAGGAAATGCACATGAAAATTGGGCCTTAATTAGACTGCTCCCTCTCATGGTAGGTGGTTTGGTGCCTGAGGATGAAAAAGCATGGCAACTTTTAATGGACTTAAAAGACATTGTGGAATTAGTGGTTAGTTCAAAGCTTTCAGAAGCATCTCTCTGTTATCTAGAGAGTAAAATTTCTGATCATCGCCAGTTATTCACTGATGTCTTTCCCAATGAAAGGTTTATACCTAAACATCATTACCTTGAGCATTATCCACACTTAATCCGCTGTTTTGGCCCTTTGGCTGATCTGTGGACAATGCGGTATGAAGCGAAGCATAGCTTCTTCAAGCGGGTGGTGCACGACACCCGTAATTTCAAAAATCCCCTCAAAACGTTGGCAAGTAGGCATCAGTCAATGATTGCTTTCGCTTTGGACTCTCAAAATTTCTTCAAAGCACCATTGCATGTTGAAAAATTGAAAGTGGTCAAATTGTCAGCTGTTGAACCGCGGCTGCGGACAGCTGTTGAAAACAAATATCCAAATCTGAGTTCCTTGTCCCTGGCAACAAAAGCAACATTGCTTGGGACTTTGTATAGTAAAGGAATGATTCTACCAATTAGACTTAGTGATGGCTTTCCAGAGTTTGGTAGAATTCACAGTATTCTGGTTGTTGGCACAGAGGTCTCATTCATAGTGGAACAACTGTCTTCATGGTACTTTGAACATTTTAGAGCATATGAAATAGTTGGAAGTACTTACTGCAATGTTGCTATTGTCAACCCACAAGATCTCATTGATTTCTACCCTCTGGCATCATACAATGTAGGTGGAAAGATTATGGTGTCTGCTAAGAGATTTTTACTTTTCTAAAATTGAATCTCTTCTTTTCTTTCCCAAGAAACTATGTTACTTCGAGTCATTCTCTCACCTGACAACATCAGGAAGTTATCAATACCTACACCATCGTCAATTGAAGAACTCTCTGCAGTTCTCTGTGAAAAATTGCAGATAATGGGACGTTTTGTTATCCAGTATGAAGACCCTGACTTCAACAATGAACTTTGTACTTTACATGACATCACAGAGCTTCCAAAAGACAAGGCTACTTTAAGGATCCACTGGGAAGTAGTTTTAAGCCCAGTGGTGGACAATGCTCACCTTTCCGATTTCACTGTGGATACAGCAAGCATGACGTCCACTCAGTCATCAGCTTCATTACCCCATTCAGTTTCTCCTCTCTCTACATCTAGATCTGAGCAGTGGCCAAGCATGTTTCCAGTGCCTTCCTTTTCATATGATGTGGAGTTGAGGCTGAAAAAAGCTAACGAAGATCTTCAAGAAAATGGAACAGCTTTGATTGTTCCAAGAGACATGAAAATGAATATCTTGGACAAATTGGCTGAAACTGTGTATTCTTTCAAAGCTTACCCAAAAGACTCTGAAATAGAGAAGGTTGCATGTGCTTTGGTAGAAAAACACCCCAGTCTCAAAGACCCAGGATCTGACACGACAGGATGTGAAGCATGGAAAATGAGCCTGAAGTTTAAAATGGCTAATTATCGCCAGAAACTCCGCAATGCAGGATGCAGTGAGATGGTTGTGAATACCCACTCTAGACAAGGTTCATCTCGAGGATCTCTCAAGAGACCCAGAAGATCTGAACTCAACTTTCTTCCCGACCATCCTGTTGGTTTGGATGAAGAAGAATTAGAGAAGGAAAGGTCATTTATGGAAGAAGAAGTGAAAAAGAGAAATTTGAGCTTGACCGTTTTGAATGCAAAGATGGAGACAACATTTTCCTTGAGGAGAAAGGAAATTGTGCAGGATCAGCCGCTGGTGTCAACAATCAAGCAAAGATGGCCAGGACTGTTTTTTGAGGGGGAGGTAAGTCATGTTTTCATCTGTCACAATTGGAATTGGATGTCTTAAAATTTGCTTTGCTTTTACTTGTTTGCTTCTAAATCTTTCATTACCTACAGGTTTGTGCTGAATTCTTTCGCATCAACCGTATCGACCTGAAAACAACATTCCTGACGTCGCTGGACAATCACACCCAGGGGTTGCTGAAGATGTACAGAGCCAAAGCAAGACAGGGAAGGTGGAACAACTTGGATGAACTTCTGGAGAAACTGGATGCCCAGGTAAGTCAATCATTTCTCATGTTAATCATGTGCACACCACACACCCCACACTCACGCACACCACAGACACCCCACACGCACGCACGCACACCACACGGACACCCAACCCCATACGCAGACTGCACGCACGCACACCCACACCGCACACATGCATACACGCACACACCCCACACCACGGACACCCAACACATGCACCACACCACACGCACAGACACCCAACACCAAACGCACGCACACACACCCCACACGCACACACCACGGACACCCAACACCACACGCACGCACACACACCTTACTGACACCACAACCACACCACACACACACACACACACACACACCCACAAACTCACATCACGCACACCACACCCACCACACCAAACCCATACGCAGACCGCACCACGCACACACCACCATGGACTCCCAACCCCATACAACCATGCACACCACTGACACCCAACCACACACACACCCACAAACTCACATCACGCACACCACACGCCACATGCAAGCACACCACGCACCCCACACGCAACAGCACACGCAATGCAACCCCACACGCACCCCACACGCAACAGCACACGCACTGCACCCCACACGCACACACGCAACAGCAC